TATATAAAAGACTCAGTGGAAAGGAAAAACAAAGGCAAAAGAAAACAGAACATAGGTGAGACATAGAAAACAAATAGTAAGATGGTAGATTTAAACTCAACCATATCAATAATCACATTAAAAGTATTGATTTCAATACTCTGATTAAAAAGCAGAGATTATCAGATTGAATAAAAAAGACCCAAATATATATTATCTAGAAGGAACCCATTTTAAATATAAAGATGCTAATAGGGTGAAAATAAAGTGATGGAAAAAGAAATGTCTTGCTTATACCAATCAAAAGAATACTGAAGTGACTAAATTGACTTGAAAGTAGATTTTAGAGCAAAGAATATCACCAGCGACAAAGAAAGTCATTCTGTGATGATTATGAGGCAATTTATGGAGAGGATATAATAAACCCTAAATGTTTATGCATCTAATAAAAGATTTTCAAAATATATGAATCAAAACTGTTAGGGTTACAAGAAATAATAGAAGAGTTTATGGTTATCTTCAGAGATATCAACGCTACTCATTTAATAATTGATAAGTGGCCATAACATCAGTAGAAATATAGAAGACTGAAATCACACTGTCACAAAAATTAACTTAATTGACACTATAGAACATTCCGTGCAAAACAGATTCCACTTTCGTTTTGAGTGTACCTGGAGCATTCACCAAGACAGAGCATATTCTGGCCCATAAAACAAGTCTCAATAAGTTTAAAAGGGTTCAAGTAATACAAAGTGTGTTATTTGACTACAGAGGAATAAAATTAGAAATAACATAAAAATCTTTTAAAAATCTCCCAACATTTGGAAAAAAACAAAAAAAACATAAGTAACACATAGATCAAAGGACAACTCAAAAAGTTAGGAAGTCTTTTGATCTAGAAAGTTAAAACACAACATATAAAAAAATTTTGAAACTAGCTAAAACAGTACTGAGAGGAAAATTAATAGCATTAAATGTGCATACTAGAAGAGGGAAGACTTCAAGTTAATGGCCTTGGCTTTCATGTTAAGAAACTAGAAAAGAGAAGAACAAAGTAAGCCCAGAGTAAGCAGAAGAAAGGAAATAATAAAAATCAGCTCAGACATCAGTGAAACAGAAAAGTGAAAATAACATAGAAAACCAATGAAACAAAAAGCTGATTCTTTGAGATTGATAAAACTGATGAAAACACTAGCCAGACTAAGCAGGGAAAAAAGGGAGAAGACATAAATCACCAATATCAGAAACGAAAGGACTTCCCTGGTGGCGCAGTGGTTAAGAATCCATCTGCCAATGCAGGGAACACGGGTTTGAGCCCTGGTCCAGGAAATCCCACATGCTGTGGAGCAACTAAGCCCATGTGCCACAGCTACTGAGCCCACATGCCACAGCTACTGAAGCCCATGCACCTAGAGCCTGTGCACCGCAACAAAGAGTAGCCCCCGCTCACCACAACTAGAGAAAGCCCACATGCAGCAACAAAGACCCAACACAGCCAAAGATAAATAAATAATATTTTTTTTAAAAGCAATGAAAGAGGTCACCTTACTACAAATTCTATAGGTATTAAAAAATATTAAGTACATATTATAAAACACTTTATGCCAACAAATTCAAAAACAGATAATATGGATAAATTTCTAAAAAGAAAAAAATTAGCAAAGTTCATTCAAGAGGAAACAGATAATCTGAAACACTCTAAATCAGTTAGAGAAATTATATTTTAAATTAAAAACTTTCCCAAAAAGAAACACTGGTGAATTCTACCAAATGCCTAAGGAAGAAATATACCAAATTCTCCACAAGCTACTCCAGAAAACTGAAGAGAAGGGACTATTTCTCACTTCATAAGGACATTATTTTGACACCAAAACCAGAAAAATACATTACAAGAAAAGTAAACTATAGACCAATATCTCTCCTTAACATAGAGGCAAAAAGGTAACAAGAATTTAGCAAATCAAACTTAAACACATGTAAAAAGGACTAAACAACACAATCAAATAGGGTTTGTCTCAGGAATGCAAGGCTGTTTTAATATTCAAAAATCAATCAATGTAATTCACCATATTAATAGACCAAAAGAGAAAAACTGTATGATCATTTCAATAGATGCAGAAGAAAATATTTTTCAAAATTCAACATCCATTTTTTGTTAAAAACTCCCAGCAAAGTAGAAAGAGAAGAACCATCCTCAAATGGCAGCAAAAAAAGAGATAAAAAGCATCCAGATTGGAAAGGAAAAAGTAAAACTCTCTTTATGCTCAGATGACCTGATCACATATATTGAAAATCTTATGGAATTTACATGAAGCTATTGAAACTAATAAGCAGTATACAAGATTATTATACAAAAATCGCATTTTCATATACTAAAAATGAATAATCAGAAACTGAAATTAAAAACCCCATTTAAATTATGATCAAAATAGATGAAATACCTAGGGAAAATGTGACAAAATATGTGCAAAACCTTTTCACTGAAAACTACAAAACTTAAAAAGAAATTAAAATGACCTATATAAATGGTTAGATATTCCATGTTTATGAATTGAAAGACTCAATATTGTTAAGATGTCCATTCCTCTCCAATTTAATTTACAGATTTAATTCAGTCCCAGTCAAAAGCTCAGCAGGCTTTCTTTTTTTTTTTATAGAAATGGACAAGTTTATTGCAAAATTCATATGGCAGTGCAAAGGACCTAGAATAGCTAAAGCAACTTCGAAAAAGAACAAAATTAGAGGACTTACATTATCTGACTTCAAGACAATTTAAAGCTATAGTAAATAAGATGAGAGTGTCAGGAAGGACAAATAGATCAATGTAACAAAATAAGAATTTGGATGTAAATACAAACAAATATGGTCAGTTGATTTTTGACAAAGATGCAAAGGCAATTCAGTAGAGAAAGGAACAATTGAATATCCATATATCCCGCTCCACACTTCCCCCCCCAAAATAAATCCTTTGTCCAAAACTTTCACCATATACAAAAAATAACTTATAGGAGAAAATCTTTGTGTCCTAGGATTAGGCAAAGATTTCGTAGATATGACACCCAAAGCAAGATCCATAAAAGAAAAATAATTAATTGGATTTTGTCAAAATTAAGAACTCCTCCTCTTTGAAAGAAACTGTTTAAGAGCATGAAAAGATAGATAAGGCAGAGACTGGGGTAAATATGTGCAGATAGCTTATCTGATAAAGGACTTATATCAAAATGTATATATATCTTTAAAAACTTTTCAGAATTCAGTAATAAGAAACCAAACATCTCAGCAAAGTAATGGAGGAAATATTTGAACAGATAATTCACCAAGGAAGATACCTGGAGACAAATGAGCACATGGAAAGATGCTCATATCAGTAGCCATTAAGGAAATGCAAATTAAACTCAATTAACACATGTCAATTAGAATGTCTAAAAATAAAAAACTGAGCACACAAAATGTCGGCAAAGATGTGCAGCAACTAGAACCCTCATGTACTTTCAGTGGGAGTGTAGAATGGCATAACCATTTTGGAAAACATTTGAGCAGTTTCTTAAAAAGTAAAACATATACCTACCATATAACACAGTTATTTTACTCTTAGGTCTCTATCCAAGAGAAATGAAAGCATATACCCATCCAAAAACTTGTCATGAATGTTCAGGGCAGCTTTATTTGTAATAGTCAAAACCTGGAAACAATCCAAATGTCCATCAATAGATTAATGGATAGATATAATGTGGTGTTATCCGTACAATGAGGGCATTTACTACCCAGCAATAAAAAAGAATGAACAACTGATACATGCAACAAATTGTTTGAATCTGAGTAGTTTTGCTGAGTGAAAGAAGCCAGGCATAAGAGAATACATACTGGATGATACCACTTGTATAAAATTCTTGAAAGTTCAAACTAACTTATAGGGACCAAAAGGAGATTTCTGGAGATTGGTGGGCAGGGAGAATCATGAGGGAGGAAACACAAAAGGTCATTAGAAAAATTCTGAAGGTGATAAATATGTCAGCTGTATACCAAGAAAGCAGGAAAAAATGAAGTTTACAAGTATAGTGAATAAGGCTGATTTCCCTATTTCTACCTGTCCACCTAGATTAACAGAGGTGTGTTTTGGGGACAAATTACTGGAGCATGGTGTCTTCTTTGGAGAGAAATAGAGACCTGGTGACAGAGGGAAGTTTGAGGAGAACCATGCATTGCATATCAATGATGTGTCAGATCCTATGTTAAGCACTTTAAATGAATGATCCCATTTAATTCTCATAAAAACCCTTTGAAGTAAGTACCATTACCCTCATTTTACAGATGAGGAAATGGAGCCTGAGAGGGTCCAACAACTTGCTCCACCATTGTAGAGCTGGTATTGATGCCGTAAGACTCTGCTGCCTGGGCCAGCTGCAGTGCTATGCTGAGTCCTGGGAGCTCTATCTCTACGAAAATCTCTGGGATAAGGGAGGGGAATCACTCCTCGGCATGTGCTCTTGCTGGTTTGACCTCAAAGGTGGTGCGCAGGGACCCAGGGGCACTGGAATTCCTGCTCTTAGGTGACTGACTGCCCCATTTTCCTGGGACTGGAGGGATTCCTGGAACATGGGACTTTCATTTTAAAACAAGGATGAGTCAGTCACACTAATTCTGGCTCAGCAGACGCCTTGTACTTCTGGACTCTGGTTTTCTGAGTCCTGGGCCCTTGATGACATGCCTAGAATATTTTCTTGGACTTAGGCCGGACAAGGGAGATGGTTTCATAGGTAAAGGAGGAAACAGAGGCAATTCTGTATTGCTCTTTTATTTTTGTGCTATCTAATATCAGGATCGCTAGGCAAGATGTTTCTAGCCTCTTCAACCTTCCATTTCCAGTTAGGGCCTCCCTAGGTTGGGAGGCTATGAAGGGAAATAGGGGCTTCTGGTTGGGAGGAATTGGTGGTCAATGAGAATCAGCTTTTCTAAAAGTAGGTCTAGCCTGACTCTACCAGGTGGTTGGCATGGCACCGTCCACTTTTTGTGACAGTCTACTTGTTTGGCTGCTTCTGCCCCTGGGGACCTGATTTGGGCACCAGTTTTGGACTTTGGGACTGCTGTTGGTTTAGGGAGTTATTGTTCTGAGTTTTTGGTGCAGTGGGATCAGTCTCCTTATTAAGGCACGTGCACTCAGGCTTGGGCTCCAAACAGCAGCACGTGGGCTCAATGTAACACGGGGGCTTCGGCGGGCAGCATGGGTTTCATTTTGATGGGCAGCTTGGGTTGCACTTTGGTTGGTCACACATCTTCTCAAGTTTTGGAGTTCCTAGAACAAAAAGAACATTTTCAGAGGGAAAGCTGGCTGCCTGCATTCACTCCCCCCTTCTTTGACCTCCAGATACATCCATCTTCAGAGTGATGACACAGACCAGTGCTGGGAAAGCAAGGCAGGATGCTCAGAGGGAACCCAGTCCCACAGTTCTGTGCCTTCATATGGGTCAGTGTGCTGGTTCCTCACTAGGGAGCCGTTTTCCAGATAGAAAAGGAAAGACCGGAATATGTAAGAATTTTGCCTAAGGTGTCTTAGCTAATGAGGAAGAGTATGACCCTTGGCAGCCGAGTCTGAGTCCAGTGGCAGGCACTTCAAAAACTTCACCTCATGAATGGTTACAGCCAGCCTGAGAAGTCGGTGTTTTCACCCCATTTTACCTATGAGTATGATTGAAGTTCAGAGATCTATCTCAGTTGCTAGTAAGTGGATTCAAGTCAGGTTCCATCCCAACTCAGAGCATGTGCTTGGTCTGGTGTCCAACGTGGTACCCAGGGACCCAGGTGCAACAGCACTCTTTCTAGGGTGACCGACTGTCTTGAGACAGATGGATCTTTTGTCTTGCCCTTCCTGAAAGCATCATTCCCCCCCGCCCCGCACTCCCCTCAGCACGTAGGAAGTGTCTGCCTTGGGGGCATTTCCAGCAAAGGAGACGGAAAGGTCATTGCTCTTGGCATGGAGGGCCGAGTTCCAGGTCTTGCTCTATGACTCCTGAGCCGGGGCGGGGCAGCTCTCTTCACCTCTCTGACCTTTATCTCTTCCTTTGTGTGGGGGCAGCGTTAGGGGTGAAGAGGAGACAACTGGACCTTGTAGATGTCCTCAAATTCAACCATTCAGGGCTTCTGTAATCTCCTGATTCTTCTAGGAGTAGGAAAAACCCAAACAACTCTTTCTTTGCTCCTTATCAACCCACCTACTTCCCACCCAGGAAATCCAGGAAAGTTCTCCTTAAGTCCATACACCTAGGACTCAATATATGGCCCCTAGGGCAGCACCGCTATGGTTTCTGCCCAGTCCCTCTTACGGCACGTGGACAAAAGCCACTGGGAGGTCCCAGAGCAGGACAGAGTGTCTAGAAGTGGCCCAGAGTCAGCAGGCAGAGGGACCTGGGGGGTCTTCTAGCCCAGGGGGAGACGTGGAGGAGAAGAAATGAGCAAGCACTCCGGCTGGGGGCTCATCCCACAAGTCCACACACCCACGTCAGGGAGGTGCCAGGTCTGTCAGAGCCTGTCACCCGGGTGGAGGAGGATGTGTGTGGGAGTTCAAGTGACAACTGCTGAGATCAAGTTGCCACCACCCTCCAGCCTCCAGAACCCACAGATAAGACACTGGCCCAAAATGGTTTTCCTTTTTTTTTTTTTTTTTTTTGATTTTTAAAAATTTTTTCAACTGCGTAGTTTGTGGGATCTTAGTTCCCCGACAAGGGATCAAACCCGGACCCCCTGCAGTGGAAGTTCAGAGTCCTAAGCACTGGACGACCAGGGAAGTCCTTCCAAACTGTTTTTTTAAACTAAACCAGTTACTGCCGTGGGCTTTCCACTAGGTACACACACTTGTGTATCTGTGTGTGTGCATGTGTGCACCCACCTGTGTGTGAGTGTGTGTGTGTGTGTGTGTGTGTGTGTGTGTCCACGCAGAAGCACAAGCACAAGGAAGGAAGAACTTGAAGTTTATGACCATGGCTGCGGGGCTGGACCAAACTGAGATTTCATTGTATTTGTTCATCAGGCTTTAAAATTGGAGTCTGTGTGAATAACTCCTAAGGAAATCGCTTCTGTTCTGGCCTCAGCCCCTCCTGCCGGTGGATTCTTCCCCGTCCTCTATCCCACCCCTGCCCTGCCATCCACCACCCCCTCCCAGCCCTACTCCAAATACTCCATCCGGTGCTGAGAAAGCCATGGCTCTCATCTTTTTGTTCTTTTCTCTGTGTCGTGAGGATGGGGGGACTCCTGGGGACAGGAGTTACAACTCCCCCTCACACCAAAGGCTCCTTGAGGGCTCCCTGGGTGGGACGGAAAGCCTTACCATCCCCTTTTTGCCACTGAAGGCAGATCTGGTTCCTGGAAGGTGTGCGGGATTCTCACATTAGGTGGTTCCTGGAGGAAACCTGTCCAATGACCCACTTTGCTGTAGACCCAGGGCCTCGGCTGTCTTGGATGATGGATGTCAGGCCCATAGCTCAGCCCTTGCTTCTGGGGATCCACCTCACTCAGCTTGGGTGTGCAAGCTGGGCCCCACTGAGCTGGGCGTGGCTGACACCTCTGCCCTGCCCAGCCTCTCTCCACCTCAACTTTCAGAACCACCAGAGCCTCATGTGGGGTTTCTCTGGGGGAGGGAGCCACCGTCATGAGCCTGAGGAGGATGTCACTGTGCTGCTTGCTGCTGGCTGAGGACAGACTGGGGTGACTACCCTTTGGGGTCCACTAGGCTGTGCATCTCCTGAGCTAGAGCACCAGGAGGGAAAGAAATCTAAGAAGGGTCACCTCACTGGGTACCTACCACTGGGCCTGCACCCTCCACACTCCCAGGTCCCTGGCAGTCTGGCTGCAGCCTCAGCTGGGTCAGGGGCAGGTTCTCACATGAGAGGCAAAATTGACTTGTGGGGTAGGGTGTTGGCCTCAATTCAGTTGTGACTCTATGCCTGCCGGTTATTCAGGAATTAATTCTGTCATCCAGGAAGAGGTTTCTGCTCAGTTTTAGGCACACGACACTGGCCCAGGACTCCTAAGGGGTGGGAGTAGGGGACAAGTGACACAGTCCCTCCCTCCAGGTCAAGAGACGCTGCAGAGAGGCTGAGGCAGCAGAGTTCTGCCCTGTCGATGCCCTGACTTGCCTGGGATGGAAAAGGAAGGAGAAGCAGGGCAAAAGGAGACACACAGATATGAAAATAGAACCCAGACATCGGCAGGAAAATGGGGAAAAAGAGGGGAGAGTTAAGGGCCATAGGAGCCTTGCTCGGTGCCTCCTCCATGGTCTTTGAAGCTGTTTGACAGAAAGTCTGTGTGCACTTGGGCGCCCTGGAGCCGTGGGAGCTGAGTTTGTGCATGTGCGTGTGTGTGCACCCGCACGTGAGCATGTGCAAGGAGCCTGGTATCTGGCGCAGTCTCCTTGTTGTCAGAATCTGTCCCACGGGGTGGTCAGACCTGAGACCAGGGGAGAGAAGAAGGTGGGGGTGGGAGGAAGGTGGGGGGTGGATAGTGAGCCCTTTAAAATTTTTTGTTGCTTTTCTCTGTGCATGTTTTGCTTCCTTTACAATTTTTTCTCCCTGCCTCTCTGTCTCTCTCTGTCACTGTTTTCCATTCTCTCTTTCTCTCCTCCTCTGTGTCTGTGGTTTACCTTTCTCCCTCTGTAGCCAGTGCCCCTGGACTGACAGTTGGGAGCCTCCTGTCCACCAGGAAGTCCAGCATGTCAGGCTCCATCCTTCCAAGTACAGGCTGGGCTGTTTCTACAGGAGCAGTTCTCATCCCAGTGGCTAGAGGGTACCCAGAGCTCCCAACCAGGGGTTCACCTGGCTGCATCCAGACATCCCCTCCCAGCACGTTCCCTTTGGGCAGGTCCTGGGAACAGGTCCCGATTGGGGGTGGGGTGCCGCATCAAAGATGGAGAGCATCTTAGGAATCAGTCCTGTGCACTAAAGCACAGGGAGGGAAAGGACAATGCCCTCAGGTCCCATGCCTTCTGAGCCAGTGCTCTATCCTTTGTCTCACTGCCCTCTCCTTGACCTCTGCCCACCAGCCCAGCCTCATCTCTAGCCGCTGTTCCTTCCATGTCATCAGACTGGCCCAGAGCAGATCCCTGCTAAATTCTGCTGGCCTCTGTCTGGATCTTTGTACTGCTCTTCCCATGGCCTAGAACACCTATCCCCACACCCTCACTAAATATTATTCAAACCTGAAGTCTCAGCTTACACATCACTTGAGGAAAACAACACTAACCCGTAGGTTAGTTCTTGGTGCTCCCTATACTTCTCGCTACATTTTTATCATGATTTCCCTAATTGTCTGGCTTCTCCTCTAGTCTGTTAGTTTCATGGGCACAGGCATGGGCACAGGCATCCTTGCTGTCCTGCTTGCCACTGTTCTCAGCATCCAACACAGTGTATGACATTATGTGGACTTCAGTACTAAGGAATGAATGAATGGATGAATGGACAGCCATGAAGGCAGGACCCATCAACAAGATTTTTCCGGGTTACCTGCTCTGGACACTTCTTTTTTGTCTCTTTTCAATTCGTGGTTCTCATGCTTGGCTTCCAAAAACTGTCTTCCCTGGACTGGCAGCAGATATGCCCCTCCGTCAGCAGCCTAGTGAATCCATGACTATCAGAAGTCAAGTGGTTTCTGTTCCCTCCAGATGCCAAGCTTCCGAGGTTCTAAGTCTCTGTGACCTTGTCATTCTCTCTCCCCAATATTCTGTGACTGTGACTGACTCACTGGCACCCCCTGCTGTCTAGATAGCAAGGATCCTCTTGGTTTCTTCTCTCCTGAAGGGCACAGGCAGCTCTTGAGTAAACTCATAATGAGTTATTTGTAGTGAGGTGGATGGACCTAGAGTCTGTCATACAGAGTGAAGTAAATCAGAAAGAGAAAAACAAATACCGTATGCTAACACATATATATGGAGCCTAAGGGGGAAAAAAGAGGTCATGAAGAACCTAGGGGCAAGACGGGAATAAAGACCTACTAGAGAATGGACTTGAGGACACAGGGAGGGGGAATGGTAAGCTGGGATGAAGTGAGTGAGTGGCATGGACATATATACACTACTAAATGTAAAATAGATAGCTAGTGGGAAGCAGCCGCATAGCACAGGGAGATCAGCTCGGTGGTTTGTGACCACCTAGAGTGGTGGGATAGTGAGGATGGGAGGGAGGGAGACACAAGAGGAAAGAGATATGGGAACATATGTATATGTATAACTGATTCACTTTGTTATAAAGCAGAAACTAAGACAACATTATAAAGCAATTATACTCCAATAAAGATGTTAAAAAAAAAAAAACATAATGGTTCGATTACCTAAGGCATAAGCCTAACACACACATAGGTACTGAGTGTCTACTGTCTACCAGGCTCCAGCCTGAACATGAAGTGTACAAGCTCAATAGCTGACATTCTCAAAGCTCTTTTAATTCGGTGTAGAGACAGTAGACGCGTCAGTACTGTGTGATGAGAATGATGGCAGAGGAAGCACAGGTTGCCAAGGGAGCACATGGGGTCGGGTTTGGGGTCTGGCATGCTTTCCAGAAGGAGTGATGTTTAAGCAGGGATTGGGTGGCAACGGGAGATAGAGAGTGGGACATGGAGGTGTCCTGTGTAGGGGAGAAGCTCGGTGTGGCTGGAGCACAGCGGGGAGAAAGGAGAAAGTGTGGACGCTGTACCGATGAGGGCCTTATACACCATGGGAAAGGGTTTGGATTTAACCTGAGGACGATGGGAGCCACTGAGGGGTTCTAAACAGGGGAGAAACAAGGATCCCTTGGGGGGCAAGGACTCTGTTTTATTCATTTCTAGCTCAGCATAAACACCACACCCCTCCACCTAGGGCCCTTTGCTTGTACTGCCTGGAATAGTCTCCCCAAGAGATCTTCATCACTAACTCCCTTGCTTCCTTCAAGTCTTTGCTTAAATGTGGCTTTATAAGTGAGATATTACACCCTCATCTTCCTATTTAAAATTACTATCTGCCAATAGAGACACGGATGTAGAGAACAAACATGTGGACACCAAGGGTGGAAAGCAGGGGTGGAGGTCAGGGGTGGGATGAATTGGGAGACTGGGATTGACATGTATACACTAATATGTATAACTAATAATAACCTGCTGTATACACAGGGAACTCCACTTCACTGTACAGTAGAAACTAACATGACACTGTTAAACAACTATACCCCAATAAATTAATTAATTAATTAATTAAAATTACAATCTGCTACTCTTTCCCTCCCTCCAATCACCTTTATACAGATCTACTTTCTTTTCCTAGGTTAACACTTTTTATATACATACAATATACTCTACATATAATTTCTTTGCTCTTTCTTTGTCTATTGTCTTTCTTCTCTCACCAAAATGTCACCTCCAAATGGGCAAAGTTTATCATTTTTTTTTTCGCACAGACTCACCTCAAGCTTCTAGAATAGTCTCTGACATATAGGGAATAAACAATGTTGGTTGAATGCATGAATGCTGATTGTTAGTTACTTTTGTGTGTGTGGGCTGTGGTCTCTGCTGTAACTCCGAACTTCATTTGCACAAGGTGAGAAACCTGTTTTTAAAGTCTGTTCTCCAAACATCATCCAAACTAACAGAATGTGTCCCTTCACAGCCCCACTCCTACCTCCTATTTATTTATTTTTTTTTGCCTCTGTCATCAAAATTAGGGATGATTATGACCATCTTCTTTAGCTATAGGAGCTAAATTTATTGATGATGAGAAAATTGAGGCCAGTTTGCTCTGTAATGGAGCAAATCCTTGTGGTCTCTCACTTCTGGGTTCAGGTCCCTGAGGCCCAGCTTCCTGTACTTGTCCTTTGATATTATCCATTATTATCATATATTTATTTGGTTCGAAACCCAAAAGGTAAAAAGGATACATAGTGCAATTTCCCCCTGCTACTCCAATCCCTTCATCCAATAACAATCAGTTTCTCAAATATCTTTCCAGGGATATTTTATATGCAAAAAGCCGCACACAAACATGTATACCTTTCCTTCTTTTAACAAAATAAGAGAAACTCCATATTGTTTTGCTCACTGCTTTTTCTCATGTTGGGGTTCATTCCGTTTCGGTACATAAACAATACCTTCATTCAGTTTGCTGTCTGAAAAATAATCTAGAGACACATGGGAATTCCCAATTTGAGCTCTTGCAAACAATGCTGTGGTGACACACTGTACATACATCGTGCCTCGGGGAGAATGGATATAGCATACATTTCCCTAAGTGCAGTTGCTTCCTCAAAAGATAAAACTGAGAGACGTTGTCAATTTTTCTTCCATGGATGTTTCACCAATTTACATCATTCCTCACAATGTATAAAACTGCATATTTCCCCACAAACTCACACAATGAATTCATTATTAAACTAATTGTGCTCTATCAACCTGATAAGTTAAAACTGATATTTCAGAGTAGGTTTGAGTTTTTCTTAGTAAGTCAGCTCAATTTTCTTTCATTATGCTTGGGAGCCATAATATTTCTTTTTCTGGAAACTGCCCAGTTATGCAATTTACCTGATACTTAATTAATTTCCCCTATATATTTGGTCCCAGCTCTGAGCTTCCCATTGAGTCCTATTGATCTGTCTGTACATTCATGGTCTAGTACCACACTATCTATATAACAGCTTCATAATATATTATAAATATATAATATCTGGTAGAGCTAGTCCCTGAAAATTACCCCTGGTTTTTAGAATTGTCTTGGCCATTTTAATATTATGCTTTTTGTGCCCAACATCACTAATTATTAGAGAAATGCAAATCAAAACTACAATGAGGTATCACCTCACACCGGTCAGAATGACCATCATCAAAAAATCTACAAACAGTAAATGCTGGAGAGGGTGTGGAAGAACTGGAATCCTCTTACACTGTTGGGAGGTATGTAAATTGGTACAGCCACTATGGAAGTTCCTCAAAAAAACTAAAAACAGAGCTACCATATGACCCAGCAATCCCACTCCTGGCATATATCTGGAGAAAAACATGGTTCGAAAGGATACATGCACCCCAATGTCCATTGCAACACTGTTTACAATAGCCAAGACATGGGAGCAACCTAAATGTCCATTGACAGATGAATGGATAAAGAGGATGTGGTACCTATATACAATGGAATATTACTCAGCCATAAAAAAGAATGAAATAATGCCATTTGCAGCAATATGAGTAGACCTGGAGATTATCATACTAAGTAAAGTAAGTCAGACAGAAGAAGACAAATATCATATAATATTGCTTATATGCAGAATCTAAAAAAATGATACAAATGAACTTATTTACAAAACATAAACAGACTCACAGACTTAGAGAACGAATTTATGGTTACCGGGGCAGGGGGAGGAGGGGGGAGGAATAGATTGGGAATTTGGGATTGACATGTACACACCGCTATATTTAAAATAGATAACCAACAAGGACCTACTGTAGAGCACAGGGAACTCTGCTCAATATTCTGTAATAACCTAAATAGGAAAAGAATTTGAAAAAGAAGAGATACATGTATATGTATAACAGAATCACTTTGCTGTACACCTGAAACTAATACAACATTGTTAATCGACTATGCTCCAATATAAAATAAAAATTTTAAAAAAGAACCATAGTCCTGAAGGATGGGCAGAGCATTGCTCTTGCCTATGGCCCACTGTTGGGTTGGAAAAAGTACCTTGAGAACTTGCCCCCCAGCCCATGGCATTTGTCCCATTAAATAGAAGAGGAAAAGAAACCACATAGGGTGGATAGCAACACCAAGGCCCAAATGTCTCTCGGGGGTATTATGCTCACTGAACCGTGTTGTACATTCCCACCAGATTCTGGAGCCTGTGTGAAGA